GGTTTCTCAGTCTTCCACTGGACACTACATTTCTCTCTACAAAGCAAAAAATACACAATCATTCAGTAAACTATCTTCTATTATGGCAATAACAAATGACATAAAAAACAGTCTAAAATGAAGCTCAACTATAATAATTCAAGAACATACCAGCTCCAGGGGTTATACAGAAATCCAGATAATCTGGAACACGGAATCTGTGTTTCCACAGGAGGTATACAAAAAGCAGTGGTGGAGAGAAGGAAGCCACTTCATTTGTGGGACATCAGTAGCAGCTGATTTGCTCTTGGGCTCGGTCACTGTTGTAAGTCCCCTTTCCACCTACACAAGTAGGAAGATTAAGAAAGACACTGGCCTACATTCTGGTCAGGAGAGACTACTTGCTTGAGGAACCACCCCTTGGTAAGATCTCTTTTTTTTTTCCTTGCCCCACCCCCTTGTACTTCTAACATTAAGCCTTTCGAAATCTGAGTTCTGAAGAAACGGTTCTTTTCTCCTTTATTTTATTTTTGATAGGTAATGAAATAACCTGAGAACAGAACCTTTATTAGCAAACTGAATATCAGGGCGTTTTACTGAAGGTATTAGACACCACGGGAATTTTTGGCATTTGTGCACACTGAAGGCATTGTTCTAGTCTTGCTTTGGTTTCTTACTTCTCAACCTATTTTAATTGCAAATAAATTAACGGTCCTGTTTAGCCCGGAGTGGTAACTGCTAAATGGTATCACTGTCTTTATCTTGACCCACAAGATTCTCCATCTTATTTTCTTCATTTGTTCTGTTGAGGAGCAGGAGGGAGAGAGTAGCCAAGTGGGCATCTGGCAGCCAAGTAAGGTCAACCAATCACTGAATGCCAGATTAAAAAACAGCCCTCAGGAAGAGGAGTCCCCTGCCTCCCTTGTGCGCATTGTCTCTTCCTCTTGTTCAGTGCAATGATAAGATTGGCACTCTACTTGCCCCAAAAATCATCACCAGTACTGCTATTTTTTTTGCCAGCAGTGATCAGTATCTGACATTCAGACTTCTTGTGTCTCTGATTATCTTAGGAATTAGATTTTCAAGGTCATTCCTTGTTTTCAGCCTCTAAAACTTCTTCCATTTGACTTCAGTTTATGCTGAAATAATTACAGAACTCTTTAATGCCTAATAATTCAGCTGATTTAGATTTGCATATGTTATGAATGATGTTCTATTTTTCCAATTTATCAAGCAACAAGATTAAATTTAATAGTAA